TTTTTCCACTTTTTTAGAGTGATTGCCCCAGTCTTATGATGCCTCGCAGTTGTTAAAGTTTCACAAAAAGTTAGTAGCCGTTTGAAAAAGTCATCGGAAAATTTGACAACGGTCTTCCTACTCCTCTTTCTCATTTCACCGTATTGGCTTTTGCACTATGCACTTTCATAAAAATCAAAGACCATACATTTTTAGTTTGAATTTTGTTTTTTACGGTTGCATTTTCATATATTATATTATATTATTATATACGACAGGTTGTATTATTAATAACTGACGAATAAGGTGGGTTGATATTGGTTTTATCTATGATATTAACTTCAATTTTTAATATAAAACTTAGTTTAACTTTTAATTTGATTTTAAATATAAAACCTCAATGTATGTTGCTTCTCACATTTACTCTTTTTTTTTTTTCAAAATAGTCCATATAGTAACTACACATATTACACATTTCATCAAATGATAGTTCTAACTAATATATATAAAATTCGAGAAAAGACAACACATATTTATTACAAATAACTAACTTAACAAGCTTATTTAATTTACTTAAATTAGTCAAATAACTATTATATTAAGAATCGGAGATAGTGCTTTGTTTTAGCGTTAATATTGAATAATTTGCCTGTGACTTCTGAACTATATACAATAAATTATACCAATGGTTTCCTCACTTTTAAGGAAATTATACAAGTTTTTATATATATATATATAAGTGACGCTTGAGAATTCTTTAAATTTGGATGAAATCAGAAATTAAAAAAAAAAAAAGCGCGAGCAAGAGGAAAGAAAATATGTCACGCATATTTTTGTTTACTGTCTAATACTATTCACGCTTTGCACTTCCGATGATACAGCTTAGGATCATGTTCTCTTCTTTCAATTTCGTTATATTTTTATTTACTTCAATTCAAAAAAATACCATAATACAAAACTTTTTTCTTAAGAGAATTATAGTCGCCCTCAATATCCATCTATTCTTTTGTTTTCAAAGCTAAATTTATTTATTTTCATGTGCTGACTTTTTTTATTTTATACAGTTAAACATGCCCACATGAAATATTCCTTTAGTCCTATTTATAAGGTAAAGATTATACATTTTTTAATTTTATTTATAGAGCACCGAGAGAAATTTCTTATATGGATATATAATTTTATCATTCATTTATTATTGTGTTGATTTTGTTATATAAAATATACTATATATTAAAAAGGGATGAAGTTGAAAATTATTAAATTTAAATAAGAGTTAATAAAATTTAAGATTTTTTTAGTTTGTGTGAAACATATTAAAAATAATTTATAAATAAGATTAAACTGGTATACCAATACTAAATAGATGGTGCTGTTATTGGAACAACCTGTAGTCGAGAAATTAATGCATTGTCTGAATAATGTTCTGTTTTGTTTCCTTGTTTTCTTATTGGTTAGTTGCAATAAACATAATTAATTATAAAAAATAAAGGGCAAATAATTAATGAGGGTGTGTTAAGATGAAGAGTACTGATACATGGTAATAAATTGAGGAGGCCCTTTCAGTTCAGATCGGAATGGCTAGAGGACAAGGATTCCAATACGGGTACTAATGTTTTGCCCGTAACATGATTGAGTTTGTCTGACATGTTTGACAATTATTTGGGTTCACGTGTACTTCCTCCCTCTTTTTCCACCGAATTATTCCCCTATCCTATTTATAAACTATTTTTAACTAAAATTTAATAATTTAATTTCTATTTAATATATATTATTTATCATATAAATAAATTTAATATAATAATAAATAAAGAGTAAAATTATACATCTATATTAAAAAAAATTTCTTGATACCCTATAAATAAAAACAAAAAAAGTCTTCTTACTCTGTTTTATAAATAAGATCAGAGGAGTACTCTCGTTGTGTCATCCACACGCCTATAATGCTTATGTTCTTTCACTTTTGGGCCATTACCGTTTGTTTTCACTTCTCACTTTTGATTAGATGGAAACCAAATTATAATTTTAAAAATAATTTTATAATATACAAAATAAATATGTGAATGAATTTATTTTAATTTACTAAAAATATCTTTTAAAGGTATCTTTAGGGTGTTGCAAACTCCCTCCACTATACATTAATTTGAGTATAACTAGTTCATCAATGTAAAAAAAAATGGTTAACTTATTAAATTGGTCATCTACCTGGAGAGGAAAAGAATAGGTAAGAAGTTACATTTAAACATTAATTGTTATAATAAAATTGTTAAATAAGTATTAATTACTCTTTAAGTCATTTATATTTTGAACTAAAACATTTTTCTAAAAACGACTTATATTATGAATCGGAACAACTTTTCCCTTTTTTTTTAAAACTGACTTGTAAACTATTTTTGTGTATTAACTATTACTAAATATATTAATTTGGTCATTTTTTAAAATTATTTAAAAAAATTCTCTCACCATTTACAAATCATTCTCATTTTTCTTTTCTCTTTAATTTTTTTCAGTCAAAATTAAATAAATAATTAAAAAATAATTAAACACCCTAAAGTAATTTCATGATGATTATACATGCTAAATAATTTTTATTCTAATACATATGATTAAATATATTTTAGAGAAAACAACACTCACAAATAACTATAACTAATTTTTTTAATATTTATAAATTAGTTATATAACTCTTATATTGAAAACCATAATGAGTTATGGAGTGGTATATGAAATGACAATAAAATACTTTGCCAAAATGTGGGGACAACAAAAGTTACGTAGAATTTTATTTACTCCTTCCATTTCATGTGTGTCACAAAATGCTTATTTTTTATGGTTTAAAAAATATAAAACAGAAAAAAGAAGAATTTAGAGAATTTTTTATTTATTTTTATCACGGACAATGATTTTGTCCATTTTCCATAATTAATAATACTTCCCATGATGTTTTCATAAACTACAAATAACCAATTACATATATTAAAAGTCAGTTAAACCTGACTAAGAACTATTTATATATAATATTTGTCTACACATTCAATTAGTGGAAAAGAGGAGAGACTTGTAATTAAATAGAATTAGAAATATAAAAATTTATTAAAATTTTAGATATCTTAAGGGGAGGGACTAGGGAGATGGCAGGAAGATGGGAACACAGTGAATCTAAGTCCAAAGCACGTGAATGCGTACGTAACTTCTGACACCCCACCATTATTTATCTTCTCATCTTTTCCCCCACTGGTTCTTCATCCCCAATTTTACTTCATAAACGCAACATAAAAATATATGATACTCCTCCGATCTTAATTATAAGACCCAATTGATTTATTTGAGAAGATTAAAGAAGTAAGTTAAGTTGATTATTTATAATAAATAAGTGTTGTCATTCCTAAAATATCCTTGTTAATTAAGTATATTGGTTAAAACTATCATTATTAGAAGGATTATCTTAGAAAAAAAAGCATAAATATAAGAGACAAAATAAATTGGGTCCTTATAATTAGGACCAAATAAAAAGTCAAATAGGATCTTATAATAAGGACAGGAGGAATAAAAATATTACTCCTCCGGTCCTAATTATAAGACCCAATTGACTTATTTGAGGAGATTAAGGAAGTAAGTTAAGTTGGTTATTTATAATAAATAAGTATTGTTATTCCTAAAATATCTTTGCTAATTAAGTATATTGGCTAAAACTATCATTATTAGAAGGATTATCTTGGAAAAAAATGCATAAATATAAGAGACAAAATGGATTGGATCTTATAATTAGGATCAAATAAAAAGTCAAATTGGGTCTTATAATAAGGACCGGAGGAGTATTTGGTTTTAATGTTCACTGCTTCCGAATTTATAAACCCCCAGGATTGGTCAACACTTTCAATAGTACTATAAAGAAAACGGGCTGATTGGAGAGTGAAAGGTCGGGTTCCCAACGTGATGCCTCAAAATAAATCACGCCCATTCAAATATTTAAATATTATAAATTTTAAAAAAATGTACTTTTCCAGAAAAAATTGAACTGTACATAATTATTCTTAACCTACAACAAATCAAGAAAAATTATAAACTCCATATTGTAAAATGTAAGTTATATTTTTATTTTTAAAAATTAAAACTTTAATTTATTTTTAGTTTTCAAAATATTTTCTAGACTTTATCAAACGCATTTTTGTTAACAAGTGAAATGAGGTGGTAGCGCTGTAGCAGGGAGGGGATCCAAGAAGAAGAATGAGAAGTGCTTGGACTTGCTTGGAAATTACATTGAAGGAAAAGATATTTTGATCATTATCTTAATACTCTTCTGATCCTTGATATAAGACTCATTTAACTAATTTAATTAAATTAAGAAAGTTAGGTAAGTTAGTTAATTATAATAAAAGTGACACATTTTTCCTAAAACATCATAATCATCTTTCTTAATATTTCATTTCCCTCTTCTATTTGATTATGGTCGAGGGAGATCCATAAGGGTAATTTAAAAAATTAATAAATATAAGAAATAAATTTTATATTTAGAACTAAAATCAATTCAAAAATTAAGTCTTATATTAAAGACAAGAAAAATAGAACCTTTTTTTTTTTTGGCCAAAAGAGGAGTAGAACCTTAAGCCCTCCTTCTTTCCCAGTGAAAAAGAGCGATACGTTTGGTAAGGAAACTATGGAGGTGTTTGGATATATTTAAAAATATTTTCTAAAAGTTTTTTTTTTTTTACAAATCAAAACAAATGTTCTGACATATTTATTTTATATATTATAAAATTATTTTTAAAATTATAGTTTCACCCGAACGTTCCTTTTTCCCCTTGGTATTGTCTCTTTCCTGCTACAAAACATACATGGCTCATGGCTGTGTAAATTCCTGCCAAAATAGATACTTGCTTACGACAGGCCCACCTCTCCTTCCCGTTGCAGTGAGTGAGATGTTGAAAATTGAAAAGCGACAATGGAGGAACATTGAAATCGAGCAAATTAAAAGGCTCAGCGTATTTCTGGCTCCCTTTCTCTCTGTTCTCTCGCCTTCTTAACCCCACACATTTCTCTCTCTATAAAACCCACCCTTCACTCCCTCACTCCTCTGCAAAAACAGGCTTATACAATTACTCACCAACTCGTTCCACAAACACAGCATCACCATTTTCCTCTCTCATTCCCCCCACAATGCTCCCACTACTCTCTCTCTTGCTCATCTCCCTCCTCTTTTCCTCTTTCCCAGGTACTCTCTCTCTCTCTTTCTCTCTCTAACACGCATGAATCCACAGTTTTTTTTTTTTTTGGTTTTTCATTTACTTGGATTACAATGGCAATGTGACTTAATCTCTGTAATTTTCTTTTGCCAGTTCTTGAGGTTTCAGCGGCGTCAGTCATACTGTACAACAAGTGTTCACACCCTGTTTGGCCGGCGATCCAACCCGGCGCCGGCAAACCCCTTTTGGCCCGAGGAGGCTTTATGCTCCCACCAAGCAAGGCCTACGCTCTTAAGGTTCCTCCTCTCTGGTCCGGCCGCTTCTGGGGCCGTCACGGCTGCGCCTTCGACGCATCTGGCCGTGGTCGCTGCGCTACCGGGGACTGCGGCGGATCCCTCTTCTGCAACGGCATCGGCGGTACCCCACCGGCCACCCTCGCGGAGTTCACTCTGGGCAACGACCAAGACTTCTACGATGTCAGTCTCGTCGACGGCTATAACCTCCCCATCTCCATCACCCCATACAAGGGATCTGGCAAATGCAGCTACGCTGGTTGCGTCAGTGACCTCAATCTGATGTGTCCGGCGGGCCTTCAGGTCAGGTCTCACGACAAGAGAGTCGTGGGCTGCAAAAGCGCCTGCTCCGCCTTCAACTCGCCGAGATACTGCTGTACTGGAACCTATGGAACCCCTCAGGCCTGCAAGCCGACGGCGTACTCCAGGATCTTCAAGACGGCGTGCCCTAAGGCTTACTCTTACGCCTACGACGACCCCACCAGCATCGCCACCTGCACTAAGGCCAACTATCTCATCACTTTCTGCCCTCGCCGTCGACGTTGATCTGTTCTCTTCTGAATCTCTAGTTACTGTAAAACGAATCGGAGTTTGTTTAGTGCTGATGGGTAGTAGTGGAATGAGTTTGGTTTAGTGTACTGTGATAGTAATGGAGATTAGCATGGTTTTATGTTCTTGGTGGCTTTTGATTGCTTCATTATGTTCTCTTCTACTTGGTCTGGTTCTGTAGTGGACGATTATTAATTCCTTGATTAATGCGAAAGTGAGTCCCGGTTGTTCGATGATGTTCGGACTTCCGCGTTATTTGGCATAACATCATTAAAAATTGTCTACCACATCATGATGCTTCCAAATCGGTGAGATTGACAGTTTTTTTTTAATTTTTTTTTTAAAATTTAATGGACAGTGGGTTTGCACTTGCCAGGGAATCTTTGTAAGCCGTAAGGCCCATGTGAATATTATTTTATATATAGATTTGATCAAATCTGGCACTAGAAAATGAGAATGGGCCGATATTTTCCTCGGAGGCACCAATGTTGTTTGTCTGGAGAATTTTATTTTAATGTTTTCGTGGCAGTGTATGAGTTTTGTTTTGGATATTTTAAAGCGTTTGAAACAAACATCACATATTGGGAGGATAGACGACATTTTCATTGGAACTCGTTTTGGAATCAGATCAAAATAATGTTAAATGCTGAAAGGTACAAGAAATGGTAGTCCTAAGAAAAAGCCAAAAAACAAAAAAAAAAGGAATGCAGAGCGGCCACACACACACACGCGTACATACTACTACCATGTTTGTATTAAAAAAACTTGTGAGGTCCAAAAGAGTATAGGAAGAGGCAAATTGGTAATCGCATAGAGGGATGTGTGCGTGTTCATATCATTACTTCTAATTTTTAATATAAGATTTTGTTTGATTTTTATTTTTATTCTAAATATAAAATTCTAACTCATTTTGTCTTTAATATTTATGTATTTGTTCTTATAGTAGTCTTTCTAATAATAATAATAATTCTAACCAATACATTTGATTAATAAGAATATTTTAAGATAATATATATTTATTACAAATAATCAACTTAACTTATTTTTTTAATTTTCTTAAAATAAGTACGTGATAAAGATCAAAGAAGCATCTGGAGTCCAAACCCGAAAAAAACAAAAAAGACCAAAGATGCGTGATGGTGTGGTGGCCGCAGGCCAGCTGCTGTCCTCCACGCCTCTGCTCTGTTCATAGCCGCGTCCTCAATTTGTGTGCATGCTTTGTTTTCTACCTTCAGTCTTATTTACTAATTAATAGTACTGCCATGAAAACATTTCCTCACATGATGATTTGAAAAATTTCTTATTACTGCAAAGCTTGTTGTTTAAAAATACCTAAAATTTTATAAGTATCTAAGTACAACCCATTTTCCTTAAGTGCACAACTTCTTTAGTTATGTGCTTCCTCTTCTCCGTTCTAGGTGCCTGGCAAAATAAAAAAGTATTTTTTAGAAATATTTTTTCATAAAATAAAACACACTCATCCACATATTTACTTCGTATACTGTAAAAATACTTTTAAAATCATGGTTTAATTTCCATCCAAAGACTCCCTTAAATGTTTTTCAGAAGTTATTTTTAGTTTTTTATAAGACGTTTTGATAGTTTTAATTAATATTAGTTATATATATATATGCTCGTATTTACTAAGGGCAGTGAAAGAATAAAAATTAATATGATGTTAGAGTTTGGTATGATAGATAAGGCTAATATTAAAAATCAATTGAATTTTATTTCAAATTTAATTTTTTATTGTTTTTAATAATTTGCACATGTGAATTAGTTAGAAACTTTTTATAATATGAACCGACAACATATATTCAATTATGTGAAAAGATACATTTCACGGAAGAATGGCTACCCTCATCAAAGACATTTCGGGTAATAACTTTTGAAATAAGGAATTTTTCTATAATTTATTGATTTTTTACGTTTGGATAATAATATAAATCCTTAAATGTGTTTTTTTTCTCAGGACAGTTAAGCTTGGTATAAGAGTAAATGAAGAATCGTTTGAAGATATATGTGGAAGCCATTTGAAAATCCTTAGTTAAGGAATTTTATTTTATCTTTCTTCACTTGTAAAGGGTTTTTGAGCTTTCATCCAGAAATTAGAATTAGAACGTTTTCCAAGCAAAAGTGAAGTTTTTAGACTTGAATTGATCCACAAATTGGCTTACGTGTTCAAGAAAAGTTTTCAAATGATTTGGACATATTAAAGTTAAAAAAGATGGCATACTAACCTGCAGACAAGATTCCATTTTATTAACGTTGCTTTTCATTGAAATCAACAGTTGATTTTAGAAGTTTCCGTCTCTCAAAGCTATCCATTTGACCAACGCGGATTTCTTTTTTGAGTATGATTATTATTATAAATTAAACTGCAGTAAAATCTAGTGGGATTTGATTAAAATGTATTTATATGAATGAGTTGTTAGCTACGTCGCATTACCATTATTTCTCTTAATGAAAAGCAAAATGGTACAGAAATTATTAATATTTTATCAAAATCTTGAAATAATAGTTACTTTGAGATAAAGTAAAAATAAAAACAAATAATTTTGAAACGGAGCATAGGATTATGTTAAGTACTCCTATGGTGATTATATAAGACAGAGAGGTATTTTGGGTCCTATTTATAGGGCACTGTGAGAAATTTTCTGTATGGATGTATAATTTTACCCCTCATTTATTATTGTATTGACTTTGTTTATATGAAGTATGATGTATATTAAATAGGGATAAAGTTGAAAAGTCATTATATTTAAATGAGAGTTAATAAAATTATTTTCTTGGTCTGTATGAAACATGCTGGAAGTGTCTTATAAATAGGACCAGAGGAGTATGTGACAAATTCCTTTGACAAGCCACAAGCTAACTAATTAATAAAATTAGTGGGCTAACTACATTTGGTCTTTATTTTTATACAAAATTTCACTTTAAATCTTTTAAATTTAAAAAATATATTTTCAGTTGAAAAGTAAACCTAATATGTTAGTAGTTGAGAATATTTTATTAATATTAAAGATTTCAATATCATATTTTTGTTAGTAATTGAGTTAAAAATTAAAAACAATTTGAGTTAAATAACTAAAAATATATACAAAATCAATATTTTTGACAAAGTTATTAGCCTGGTTCATTGTTTGATAAGTTAACTACAAATCAATATAAATCAAATACTCGAATCTTGTTATCGATATAAAAATTTTGTTGATGGACAGCTTGTAAATACCTCTATTAAGTTTGGAGGTATTACCTTGGATTTTAATATAAAAGATTGTTTGATTTTTATTTTTGTTCTAAATATAAGTTTCAATTATTTTGTCTCTCATATTTATTTATTTTTTTCTAAAGTAGTCATTGTAATAATGATAGTATAAGACCCTAATCCATTTTATCTCTTATATATTTTTTTTTCAAGTTAGTCCTTGTAATAATGGTAGTTTTAGCCAATATATTCGATTAGTAAATATATTAGCAAAGACAACACCTATTTATTGCAAATAACTAACTTAACTAATTTTTTTAATCTATTCAATTAGTTAACTAATCTTTCTATTAAGGATACGAGGTAGTATGTCCCATTAAAACCTAACTCACCTAATTTTTTCATGGCCAACAGTATAAATCAAATAATGTAAAATATATGAATTCTAGCAAATCACTTATCACCCTAAAAGAAGCCAAATTTCTCTAAATCCAGCAAAAGCAAGAAAATGAGTCCTAATCACAGGCTTCTCATGCAAAGAAGTCGAGTGAAAACTGAAACGCCACAATCTCAATGATAGAAGCTTCTGCAAAATTTACTTCCTCTCGCTTCTATCGAATCACCCAGAAATCCGTATCAGTTTCTCTCGTATTCAGATGCTCAAGCACCTCTTCAGTTGTCCAACCGCGGAAGCCTGAGGCTGGATTTGAAAATGAAGACCCAGAAGAGAGCATCTCCAATAGAACCTACTGGACGAAGAAGATTCACAGACTCTGCACCAAGCACCGTAACGTCGATGATGCGCTTCGCCTTCTCCACCGTCTTACCCTTCGTGGGTACCGTCCCGACTCCCTCAATCTCAGTAGCATCATTCACGCGCTTTGCGATTCCCATCGTTTCGTCGAAGCTCACCAACGGTTCTCTCTGTTCATTGCTTCCGATTGTGTCCCCGATGAGCGGACTTGCAACGTGCTTATCGCCAGGTTACTTGATTCTCGAGAACCTCTCAGTACCTTGCTTGCCATTCAGCGTTTGATTGGCGTGAAGCCTGAGTTCGTACCCTCTTTAGTTAATTATAACCGTTTGATGGATCAGCTTTGCTCTATTTCTCGACCCAGCGAAGCTCACAGATTGTTTTTCGATATGAAGAATAGAGGGCACTCGCCGAATGATGTTTCATACACCACTCTGGTCAATGGGTATTGCAGGACGGGTGAGCTGAGGGATGCGCGCAAGGTGTTTGATGAAATGAGCGAGCATGGGGTAATTCCTAATTCTCTGACGTACAGCGTCATGATTCGTGGCATTCTTCAGAAGCGAGATCTTGAAGGTGGGAAGCAAATGATGTGCAAGTTATGGGAGAGGATGAATAATGAAGAGGACCAAGCACTGAAGACGGCGGCGTTTGCTAATCTCATTGATTCTTTATGTAGACAAGGGTTTTTCAATGAAGTGTTTAGAATTGCCGAAGATTTGCCACAAGGGAATAGTGTGAGTGAGGAAGTTGCCCTTGGGCAGATGATAGACTCGCTTTGTAAAGTAGGAAGATATCATGGGGCCTCTAGGATTGTTTATATAATGAGGAAGAAAGGATTTGCTCCAAGCGATACATCTTATAATTACATCATACATGGCCTTAGCAAGGATGGTGGCTGTATGAGGGCTTTTCAGTTACTAGAGGAAGGGACTGAAGTTGGGTTCTTGCCGTCTGAATATACGTACAAGGAATTAGTGACAGCCCTTTGTCAGGAGTCAGATGTGGACAAGGCAAGGACAGTACTTAGACTCATGCTGAAGAAAGGACGCGTTGACAAGACCAGAATTTACAACATATACTTGAGGGCTCTTTGTCATGTGAATAATCCAACTGAACTGTTAAATGTACTTGTATATATGCTAGAGAACCAGTGTGAGGCAGATGTGATTACTCTCAATACAGTTATCAGTGGGCTCTGCAAGATGGGGAGGATTGAAGAAGCCTTGAAGGTATTGCATGACATGTTGGTGGGTAAATTTTCTACTCCTGATGTTGTGACCTTCACTACAATAATTTCTGGTTTATTAAATGTTGGACAAGTTGATGGAGCTCTTGATCTACTGCATAGAGTAATGCCTGAAAGAGGTTTAAAGCCTAGTGTTGTGACATATAATGCTGTTCTTCAAGCCCTGTTCAAACTCGGCCTATCAAACGATGCCGTGAGCATTTTCAATACGATGTTAAGAGACGGCATTACTGCAGACCATGCTACTCATGCAATCATAGTAGAAGGCCTATGTGAATCCAACCAGATAGAAGAGGCAAAGAACTTTTGGCACGGCATTATTTGGCCATCAGGGAATCATGATAATTTTGTTTATTCAGCAATTCTGAAAGGGCTCTGCCGCTCTGGCAAGTTCAATGAGGCTTGTCATTTTTTATATGAACTGGTAGATTCTGGAGTCTCTCCAAATATATATAGCTATAATATATTGATTAACTGTGCGTGTAACCTTGGATTGAAGAGAGAAGCAAACCAAATTGTGGGAGAGATGAAAAGGAATGGACTGACCCCTGATAGTGTAACATGGAGGATTCTTAACAAGTTAAATGGTAGAGTCACGAAGCATTCTTATTCTGAAGAATCAGCAAAAGAAATGGACGAGGAAGCACTGCCAGGTTAGTGTGAAGGAGTGTGAAATCTACGTCAGACACCGGTAACAAATTAAGAAGCCAAAATGTGGTCTGTGTTACTGTTCAGAGAATATCCAGGACAAGAACGGAGGAGCCCGAAATCCGAAGGTCACACTGGATGTAAGTATTAACCATGAAGATGTGTGATCAGGCCCTACCTGGACGGATCTGCTGTGTATATGTAGTGTGGCGGTGTGGCCTTTGTAATTAAATTGGAAGAGACCGAGAATTTGACATGGAACTCATTTAAATCGTTCAGGGAGAGCAGCTATTTCCAGAAGACACATGATTTAGTAGTCATGGAAATTTTCCAATCCTGAAGTTCGGGTGGGAGTCTTGGGTATGATCATCTTGTATTTACAAATCGAACGCAAAAGCTTCTTTTTGAAAGTTGCATTCAACTATGCAAATCGGTGAGCCCACCACCATCTCCAACGCAGCCCGGCTTTGTAGGAACCGTCGTTAGTGATTGTTCATCAGTCAGATTGCAATTCAAGCTTCACTTCCGCGTTTTTTTTAATTTCTGATGTTGTCTTTGTGTAAAGTTGCATGACTGATTATCGTTACAAAAGTATACTTTAGCGATGACTGCGATCGAGGGAATCGGGAAAGTAGATTCTACTTCACATCACAATCGCTCTGTTTTTATTTTATATCAGCATGCATTACTCGTTTCTTTTATTAAACCAAGATCATGAGAAGTATTAAAGCTGCCTTAATATTTCAATTAAAAAGAATATGCTCATATTGTTGGTAAATATTTGGTCAATTGAAATATTATCTTCGCTCCTTAATATAAACTTTATTTAATTTAATTTGATCTTAAATATAAGACCCAAGTCTATTTTATCTCTCATATTTATTATTTTTTTAAGATCGTCCTTTAAATAATGATAATCCTAGTTAATACACTTGATTATAAAGGATATTTTAAAAAATACAACATCTATTTATAACAAATAACTAACTTAACTTATTTTTTTAATCTACTCAAATTAGTCAACTAGCTCTTATATTCAGGATCGGAGGTAGGTAATATAATTGTTACGCAGTTATTATTATTTTTGTGTGATGAAAAGTATATTTTTTTAACATAATAAATTGTGTAATTTCGAGAAATTCATGACAATTACATGTCAATGGGACAAAAATTTAGGATTATTAATTTTAAACCAGATAAATAGATCTGGATATTAAAAAAATAAAAAAAAGATACTTATAATTTCAAAAAGATCAAAGAAGTTTTAACTAATTTAATTTTAATTAGTGTGAGAGAATTTTATACTTCTTTTTCACTCATGCCCACCAGACTCCAATACCATGATGCCAGATAAATGGCGCATGAGACAAATGTGGCGGATGGTTTAAATTGGTTGTTATGCACTTTAAACAGGTCATTTTATATTTTAAATTCATTTATCGTTAGCTAATTTTTTAAATTTAAATTCATTTATCGCTGACTTTATTTAGTTTGTTTAGTTTTGGATTTTTATTTTGTTTAATTCCAACGTATTTCCTTTTTAACTCTTTATGTCTATATTTCAAAACAGGGAAGATTTGCGTATTGCAAGAAATTTATTAAAAAAAAAACATGATACATAAAATTTGCAATAATATTTTTTTCAAAGGCGAGCGAGCTACGATAAATTTTATTATATACCTGACAGTCTGACACCTTTCTAAGGACATAAGGTCTTAAAATTAGTCTTATTTTATATGTTATATAAATAATATGACTTATTATAAATTTTATAATATATATTCGTTATAATTAATATATTGACAAACGATGTATTCACTTCACAAATTGTATTTTTTTCAATTTTATCCCTCTTATATTCTTTTCATTTTTAAATTATTTATTACATCTTTTACTTATTCTCTTTAGTTTTTATTACTAAGGGTATATTTAGAGAAAAAATAAATATCTTACATATTTATTATTTTAAACTGATTTTAATTAATTTTTTGATAAACATAAATGAATAAAATTTATCTTGTAATTTGAACCGGAAGAGTACTATAAATTAATATATTGACAAACGATGTATTCACACTTCACAATCTCCATGAAAAGGACATTTGCAGCACAAATTGAAGCTGACAAGAAGCTCAGAGAGTTAAACTGTCGGTACCAATTGTGTTGTCGACACTTTGATTTCAGGGGAAATCACAAATAAAGACCCTCGAATTAGTAAAATCACTCTATGGTCACCTGAATAGGTAAATTAATAGAGGGACCCGGTCTCAAATTGTAATTATGAAATCATAGCTAATTACCAAAATACCCTCTTCTAATTTTTTTTTTAAAAAAGAAAGCCACTGCCTCACCGGAATCCGGCCACCAGCGCCGGAGCTCCGGCGGCCGGACGACCGGGGTCCGGCCGCCGGAGTTCCGGGCCGGCGGCCGCTTCCGGCGGTCTTCTTTGTTTTTTTTTTGAAACTGTTTTTTTTTTTAAAATTGGGGGGAAGTGAGGTTGGGGGGATTTGATCCCCCAACCTAATGCTTCCCAAAATAAGGAATGACCATTGAGCCAACAAATTTTTGTTAACATTATGATGCAAAAAAAAAAAAAGTTAACTCATTTACTCTTGTTCCAGGTGATAACAACAATACATTTGGAAATAACAAGTTCTGATTGTAAAATAACACGTCTAGAATAAAAATTAACAATATGTTTTTTTTAAACAATAAATTATTGTAGGTAATAACAACAATACATTTAAAAATAACAAGTGATATAAAATAACAAGTTTGGGATTAAAATTTATAACACGTTTTTTTTTATAACAATACACTTTGTTTCAAGTGATACTAAAATACATTTAAAAATAAAAAATTCTGATTATAAGATAATAAGTCTAGGATTAAAATTAACAACACGTTTTTTTATATACAATAATTAGTTTTATACTTTTAAAAAATAAAT